CCAATGTTACCATAAATCCGAGGCAGGGGAGGAGAAGTCACGGAGAATGACAAATTAGATTTTTCTACCTAGAAGTGAAACACTTCACTTCCACTCATTTCTTTGGCCAAAGCAAGTCCCATAGCGAGGAGACAAAGAAGTGTCATCTCCAGGCTCCTGGAAGTAGAGAAGTACAGTGATTTTTGTGATCACTGTTTCTACCACAGTCCACCCTTCGGTTCACCAAATACTTGGTTCACACTCCTCACTAAGGAAGATCATCCCAAAGTCCCATCCTATTAGAGGTGTAGCTCAGCATCTCCAGTTTGTAAATGGTATACCATAGTTCATTACATAAGGTCTGAATGTGTAGAATAAAACATGAAGCTAGCAATAAATACTTCCATTTGGAAAAAGGAATGAATGGTTTAGCACAGTAGGTTTGATCTGTGGCAACTTGAAATCCTGCTTGGTTGATTAGGAGGATGCCATAGCCAGGGCATATGGAATGTTCTTTTATCAGACCCAGATTCTGCTTTTCAGAAGGTGCCCGACTCCTGGGGACTTTTTGTGGTCCCTGGCTCCAACCCCTGGCAGGAAATTTCCCCCCAGTAATCTCTTTGCCGTGTCTGAAATGGCATCAGCAAACAGCCCTTCCTTGGTGCCTTAGTTCCTGGTCCGAAGAAACTAAGGGGACTGAAGGTTAATTTCAAGAGCTCTCTCAAAAATTAGTAAACTTCTCATCTAAATTGATTCTTATGGTGGCATAATTCCCAGAATATCTCTTTTTCTTGCTTTTCATTCCCATAACTGTCTTTCTCTCTCTACTTGATGGTTGTTTACTAGAACGTTCTTTTAAAATTTTTATTCTGGGCCTTTTTATTCAATTAAAAGGATGTACCAGCTACTTCATTATAATTTTTGCCCATAGGAAATGTATTTAGTTGAAATGTTTTACCGGGCATTTCTCCCTCAAAGTTTTTTTTATATTTTTTTAATTTATCTTTTCACTTTTGGGGGATAGAAATCATTGTTGTTTTAATCTTGCAAACTCTGAATTTATGGACTATCTTCATTCTCTCCTTTTTGTTTGCAAACTTGCCAAATCTTTGCTGAGATCTTCTCTTTCTTATATTACCTTGCCAAATTCAGACAATCGCATCCAACACACACAGCTACCATTTTGTTTTCCAGTCTTTTCCTTCAGAATTTCTGTACTTCTAGGTGCTATATTTGCCTCTTAAGTTATTGCAGGCAATAATTTTACCAAATGTTTTGCCACTGCATAGTGTGGGTCATCATTTATCTAGCCTATAATATCATTGTCATACACAGCCTGCCACATGACCTCTGTTGACAATGCCACTCTTTTAGCCTTTTGCTATGGTAGCACCTCACTTCTAGGCCTCAATTTTTGTATCTACTTATATACTGTTAGGTTATGGTAGCATATCTTGATTCATCTTTTTTAAAAAAGTGAACATAAAAATTCTTTTTAAAAATTGTATTTTTCAATTATAGTTTACTTTCAATATGATTTTTTATTAGTTTCAGGTGTGCAGCTTAGTGATTACACACTCATGTATTTTACAAAGTGATCCCCCTGATATTCCAGTACCCAAATGGCACCATATATAGTTATCACAATATTATTGACTATATTACCTATGCTGTGCTTTACATCTCCATGACTACTAGTATCTTGTAAGTACCAATTAGTATTTCTTAATCCATTCACCTTTTTCACCTAGCCCCAGGTACACCCTAAAACCTTTTGAAGCTTGGATATTTAAAACTGAATGCGTTGTACTATAAGTTTCTTTCTGCTTTATTGTTCAGTCTATTGGGAACATTTTATTAACTCTTATTTTCATTGCCTAAATCAAGACTGTTCTATTTAAATATAATACAAGCTATATGTGATTTTGTAATTGCTATTGGTAATCAGTGGCATTATACAATAGCTGTCTTAGATCTCTGGAGTCTTGCAGATGGCTTTTGTCCAGTTAATCTTTCTAGGTTGCTAGTGATGGTATAAGCTGGTAATCATATGATCATCTTTATCCCTGTTTTATATAGGACTAACTGACATGACAACTGGATTGAGTATAAATTTTTTTTAAGGTATATACATATTAGAAAAAGATACTAATTTATAGGTCATTTCAAAAAGAGCTTATGGGACCAAAATCAGGAGCTCTTAACACTGTGACCTAAGATAGAAGTTCTCTATAGTAACAGACACTCAATAATGCTTTGTTTTCATGAGGAAATATAAGGTAAAAAAAAAAAATCTAAATATGTACCTTGAACTACAAATGTCTCCAACAATCTCATGTCATTATGTTCTTGGTTAATATATGTGTGTTTGGTTTCTTTCCATAAGAGTTTCAACTAATTATGATAGTACAGTCTATTACTGATAATAGCACCAACAAGCATATAGTTGGGCATTAAAAAATCTTGCTAACTTGGATGTTTGACCAGCTATAATATCGTACCTCATGGAAGGCTGTGTGTAACTCATTGTTGGAACTCCAGAGTCTCTTTCTGTGGGCTCTTGAATTGTGTGTGGAGTGTCCTAGCTGTCACTGTGTTGCATGATGGCTCCACTTGAATTATGGAAATGCTTAAAGCTGGTAACAGCTTGAGTTGGGTGGTACAGGGCCAATTAGTGAGCCTTCCATCACAGTCAGCTCTGTGTTCATCATATATTCGTTGTGTCCCCAATATTAGCACATAATTTACACTATAAAAGTGCTCAATAAATGTTAGATGAAATAATAATGTGAACCTGTTGATTCAGTTCAAACTTAATGAAAGCAGGTTACTAGTTTGACTTGCTGATAAGTTAGTTATTTTTACCTTGATGGGGAAAAACACTGTGACTACTGGGTGTAAAACATCAATGTTACTTCTTTCTGACACAAAAGGCCATTTACTCCTCCCCAGCAATCCAGAAAATCCTCTTGTATTAAGTAAGGCACTTCTTTCAAGAGGGCTGTTGTAGTCTTCTATGCATTGAGGCATGGCTATGAAGAAACCACTCAATTTAGTATGCCTTTAAGGGTCTATTGCATATATTGCTTTGGTAGCATAAATGGTTCATGAAAACATGCCTCTTGATTTCATGGTGGTAGCTTCACTGAATATCTGGTAAAGTCTTGACTATTATAAGATTGGCTTAAGGGTTTCAGTCTAGCTAGAAGGGGTTAGCCAGGAGGCCCTGTCTTGAATCTGTATATGCATAAAAATACATTGCTTTAATTTAGATTGTCTATTTGGGGATGTATGTTTAGAGAAGGAGACTAGTAGATTATTGGGGGAAATTAAATTTACCCCAAGTCCATGAAGACCCTAGAGGCTTATCCCAAAACATTTAAGCGAGTGCAAAATAAACTAAGTATGAGCAGACAGATAAAGAGGATGGGTATGATGTCTGAGAGAGTAATTCAAGGAAGTCTTCTTATAAGAATTCAACTTTTGATTGTTTCAGAGGAGAAAGGCGGAGAAGAATCCACAGGTATGGAGAATAGAAATACAGATGAAAAACCTATGATCACAGAAGAATTTTGATAAAATCTGGAGGGTCTTCTAATGAACCCAAGAGCGACTTCTTCAATTTCCTTTGATTAAAGAAAATGGAGGAAAGTTTTTCAAACATGTGAGAGATGAAAATAACTGCCCTGCTAGAATGTGACCTGCCTTTTTTCTTTTTTTTAAAGCATATGTAATTATACCTAATATTAATGGAGATTTTTTAAAAAGTATATTACTGTTGCCAGGCTGTTGTGGCTCAGTGGTTGAGCATTGGCCTATGAATAAGGAGGTCCCGGTTTGATTCCTAGGCAAATGCCTAGATTGTGGGTTCAATCCCTAAAGGGGGTTGTGCAGGAGGCAGCTGATTGATCAATGGTGTTTCTTTCTCACCTATGTTTCTATCTCTATCCCTCTTCCTTCCTCTCTTTAGAAATCAATAAAAAATATATATATTTTTAAAAAGTACTGGTAAGTTACTGTTATTTCAAAAATGTCTATATTTCTAAGGTATAATGCCTGACATAGCATGTGCTTAGTAAATGTTTGTTGAGCCCTATCCAGTTTTGGCTTAGTGGATAGACCAATGGCCCTCAAACTGAAGGGACCCAGGTTCAGTTCCAGTCAAGGGCATGTACCTTGATCCCATGCCTGGTCAGGGCTCATGCAGAAGGCAACCAATCAATGTGTCTCTCTCACATCCATGTTTCTCTCTCTCTGCCTCTTCCCATCCCTTCCATTCTCTCTAAAAATCAATGGAAAAATGTCCTCAGTTGAGAATTAACAATAAAATAAACAAATAAAAAATGAACTGCAAAATAAAACAAAACAAAATAAATAAATAAACTGTAGCTCCTCTGTGAGTTTATTAAAAAAATAAATAAAGAAAAATGTTTGTTAATCTGAAGTTAACTGAGACAAATTAACTTTCCACAGGTTATTTAAAATTATACACCACAGTAATACGTTTTGGTTTTTAAAAAAAATCATCCTCAATCAGAGATAGCCAAGATAATGGTCGTTTATATGTTGCATTAGTAATGATTATTTATTAAGTATCAGTAAGGGTTAAAATAGAATTAATTCAGGTTACCATAAAACTGCTGGGGTGTAATTTCAGAATCTCTCTCTGATGTCAGTCATTTCTTTGGTTTTATTTTTCCCATTCATAAAATGGAGCACAAGAGAGGTCTGCCATTTAATACCAGGGCTCCTCTGAGGGTGACTTATCTCCTACTTAAATCATGGTTCATATTGCATGACTGGAAAATAGAACATATGAGGCATGTCAAAAGTCCTTAGCCATTAGTGGAAGACCATAAAAAGATTATGACAGCAGTTTGCAACTTAGCTTGTCTGTGTAGCAACTTAGTTAAAAATTTTGCTGTGATTTGAGGTAAATGAGGGTAGAAGAAAAGGAAGGTTTGGTCCTTTTTTCGTCATCCCTTTTGAGGACCCCCTTTTGATTCACTTTCAGGAAGTGAAATAGGAAAAAAACAAACAAACCCAAATTCGTCAGTCACTCTGGGGTAACCACATCTTAAGACTGTAAGCGGGTCAATCAAAACAAGGACACTGATTGCTATAAAATCGACAGGTACTCTCATTAACACACACAGGCACATACAGGGCATGCACAGAAAGAGCTTACTGCACGAAGCAGGCAACCAGAGCAAAACGACAATGACCACCCGACATCCCGCTGCCATGGTGAGTAAGAATAACGACTTTTGTTTAGGTAGAGTCATTCCCTAGGAATTCAGAAAAGCAGATCTCTCAGGAATTAGGCTCAAATAGTGTTATTTCTTTTAAAAACAGAGCCGACTCTAATGCTGATCCACATCTGGTAGTGAAAAAGAAAAAATAACTAGAAGTTATAATGGGGTGTAAGCTAGCTCTTCACCTGACGGTTTTTGAGTAATTGGCGTTAGCTTGCTTGGCTCTTGGTCATGAACTACATTAGCTTTCCTGTAGTCACCACAGTAGAGGTAAACAGGCTTGAAATTCTAATTTCATGCAGGAATTTAGCCAGCCCTTTGTCATTTATATATTCTATATATCTTTATAAACCGAGGAAATTGGTGTCCCAAGAGGCTTAATGATCTCCCCAAGACTACAGGTAGAGAAGGAGTGCTCTGGATGGAGGAAGTAGAATGACCAGGGATGAACTTTGGACAGCTCTAGAGGAGGGACATTTGCCATGTCTCTGATGGCTGATTATTTTTTTGTATCTTCTCATTCCTCTTGAGGAGAGAGAAATGTTAGTGTGATGGAAATCTACCTCCCCTGGGTCTAAACTCACAACAAAGTGCAGCATTGGGGGATAGGCTCTGGAGTCAGACCTGGCTCCACCACTTACTAAATGTGGGATTTGGGGTAAGTTTTTCACCACTTGTGCATTATTATTCTCTTTTCAGTATAGGGCAATAATAATGGCATCTTCCTCGTGGGATTTTTTTTTTTTGATTAATTGATATTACAAATGACTAAAGCTATACTCTGAAATAGCGTACCCATGTATGTGTAGTTTTTAGTTAAATTGGCCATTTTAATCAATAAAGATAGAGAAAGCATTAAATAAGTGTTAATATTAATAATATTGCTTTTACTTCTGAGACTCTCATCAACCCAATGACATAGGTAGGGAACTACTTTTCCCATTATACACGTGAATAATGGCTCAAGTTAAGGGATTTAACATCACTACTGAGTAATATACACACAAGAACTGGGGCATGGATCTAGGTTTAATGGCTCCAAGAACAGTATTCTTTTCCTTGAATGGTTCAGATGCAAGATTTTGAACCTCTTAAAGAAGAAGTGTTGCAGACATCGTTTTTAATTGCATAACCACTAAAACCTACAGTTTCAGAACCACAGCTTTGTGGAGCAAACTGGAGGGATTTGCAGACAGTTATCTGATTTCCTGATAAAGGGCCAGGTAACTAACAACACTCACGAATACCCGACACAGCTGTCACAGAGCTTAAACTGCTTGGCTACTCTGGTGGGACAAAGCTAAGATGGAATATGGCGAGTGGCTACATGTAATAAGAATCTTCAATAACAATAGCACTGGCCTCTGACAGCTAGGTTTGTGTCCCCAGACTGGCATTGACAGGCTGGTGAACCCAACCAAGCTATTTGTTGCCTCTCAGACACACTCCTTCACCCATCTAATGAGGATAATTAATACTAGCTTGACCGACCCCATAAGAAAGTTGTGAGAATCCAATGTTTAAAGAGATATAATAATGTTTTATAAAATACTCAAAGAATATAAGCAAATATAATAATGACTTATTAGAAGCATGGAAATTTTTGCTAACTCCTAAAACCTCAAGGAATGGTTATTTTAAAGTTTTGACAATTAGATATAAAAATGATTCAGTAAGTATGATACAGAAGAAAAAAACAGAAAGGAGAAATAGTTTCCATAATCTGTTGTTGGGCATCACTAGTGTCCATGCTTCTTTCAATTATCCTGAATACTTGGAACTTTGCTACAGTGTTTTTCTTGATCATTGCTTGTGGGAAATTAACTATATTGTTAATTTAACTGTATTGTCTTGTTTATCCATTCATTGACCCACTCTTTGTCCATCCAGAAAGTATTTATGGAACACTCATTCCATGATACATTCTCCTGCAGAAATATACAGTATAACAGGCATAGATCTGACATGAACACAAACAGTACATTTTCATTCAGTAAAGAAATGCTGCTTGAGTGGTAGATTGATAAAAGCTTCATGATTTAAGGATAATTAACATACTTCTAATTGAACTACTTTAGGGATAGTTTCTGAAGGAGACCATGTCCGAGTGGGGTCTTGATGGAAGGATAGGAATTGGAAAGATCGAGGTAGGCAATGTATTCTAGATGAAGGAATGGCTGGGAGGAAGGATATTGTGGAAGATTTATGGGATCTTGAGAAGAAAAACTAGAGCTATCATTTAGTAAGCCTGTTTTTGTTAGATGTACAGAAGCTTTACATAGAACATTTAATTTAATCTTGTAATACTGTTATAATGCCAGTATTATAGTCTGGTTGGGGAGAGGAGAAACCAGAGGCTCAGGAGGAGACCAGGTCAAGATTTACACCCAGTTCCAGATCCTGTTGTCTCTCTGTCTCACACCTGGGAGCACAGTCACCAGGCTACCAAATTTAGTTCTCAGTTTGGTACCCTGATGTCGTCATGTATGACTGCTCCCATTTCTAGGTGAGGATCTGAGGTTTAGAGACAAGTCCTGATCTTATAGACCAGTGGTTGGCAAACCACGGCTCGAGAGCCACATGCAGCTCTTTGGCCCTTTGAGTGTGGCTCAGTTTTAGAACCACTTCTTCAAAATAGACTTGCATAGGTCGAAAACCGACTTCTGCGCATGGGCCACGCAGTTTCAATCACGCTGTACATGTGTGCCTGCACATAATATTTTGTGGAAGAGCCACACTCAAGGGGCCAAAGAGCTGCATGTGGCTCAGGGGCCACGGTTTGCCGACCACTGCCATAGACAATCAGGAATGCTGAGTTCAGGAAAGCATGGATGTCTCTTGCCAGCAAGTGACATCAGAGTCCCTAACCAACTGCAACCTCCTCTATTTTCTAGGTCAAGTGTCTGCTGCTGTTGATGTTGGGGCTCGCTCTCCTGAGGGAGGGGGCAGCTCAGAAAACCCCCGAAGCAGAGGATACTGCCCTTTGTCCTCCTCTGGAGGATAACAGTGTGAGGCTTGACATTCGCATCTTCAGTCAAAACCAGGCTGTTACCATCTCACATGACTTCCAGAACCGCTCCAGCTCCCCCTGGGATTACAAGTAAGTGCCAAGGAGACTGATCTTCATATGCTTTGGAACTATATGAGAATTTATTCTAATAGGAAAGTGGAAAATTTAGAAAAACTAAAAGCCCTCACATATTCTCTTAAGAAAACAGAAATCCCTCTTTACCTGGGAGCACACATTTTTTTCTTGCTGTTTTGGACGAGGTGGTCCAAAGTCTTACTACTTTGTTTCCAACTTTTCATTGATTCTGCCCTTTTCTGCTTCATGGGGCCTAGATCAGACTTTACACACTTTCTGTGTTGTAAGAGAGGTCTCTTTAAAGCAGCCCAGACAATGATCTCTGCAGAGGAATAAATGGGAACCAAAAAAAGGTCAAGTTTCAAGAGATCCACTCAGATTAGACACTGGTTGTCAAGGAGTGGGGAAGAGAGCCCAGTGGAGGAGTGGGATCTGAGGCGGGATGTGCAGAGGACAGTCTTGTGACTTTGTCTGATGTGCAGGGCCCTGCAATATCAAGCATTCCTCTATATTCTCCCATTATAACTGGGAAAACTAGTTCCAGGGATAATGTGAAGTGCTTCTGGGCTGCTTGTTTTGTTTCCAAGTGAGGGAGTGTACACAACTGGCAAGTTGGCTGCATTGGCTTGGCTGCCTTTATCCTCCTGGCTGAGGGGGCTGTTGAGGAAAAAATTGAGAGAAGCCACTGGGTTTACAAACCTCAGGGACTTTGGTTTTTCTTTTCCAAGCAGCAGGCTTTGTAGACCGTATAGAGGAAGACCTACTGGCGATTTTAGTCTCTCAGCAAAGGATGAATAATAATTATTGTAATAACACTGTAAAGAAAAATAAACTAGGAGATCTAACATGTGTTGAATGCCAACATTTACAGTGTGCCATTTCCTATGCATTTGATCACTGAATGTTCTCAACAATTCCGTGTGAGAGAGATTTGAGAATCCCCATTTCATAGCTGAGAAAATTGAGGCTTAGGGAGTTAAGCATCTGTCAGAGGGCTGTGTATGAATCCAGACTGCCTGATCCACGGCCTATGCTGCAGCCCGGAGTTACTCAGAACCACCTCCCTGTGAGTGAGTGAGTGCAGGGCTGCAGGGCTCACATCCTTTGTCCATGTCCCCTCCCTGTCTCACCATCTACATCTGCCTGCTTCTCCTGCAGCATCACCAGGGACCCTCACCAGTTCCCCTCCGAGATTGCAGAGGCCCAGTGCAGGCACTCGGGCTGCATCAATGCCGAGGGGAAGGAAGATAGCTCTCTGAACTCCATTCCCATCCAGCAAGAGGTCCTGGTCCTCCGGAGGGAGCCCCAGGGATGCACTCACTCCTTCCGGCTGGAGAAGAAGATGGTGACTGTTGGCTGCACCTGCGTCACCCCCATCGTCCGCCATGTTCGTGACCTGAGAGTTGCCCCTCAACTTAGCTGAAGAAGCTGTAGAAGTGCCACTCCTCCTCCTGCATCAAGTCCTGAGTGGTCCCCGATTCTCTCTTAGTGTGGTTTGCATGGAATCCCCAGAGCTTTGTATTAGATATACCGGTAGTGTTAACTTTCTGGGGGTGCTTCAGAATCCTAATATTATCCTGAGATGTTTCAATGTCCCAAACCCCTGAAAATGAGTGTGAGTGGCGAATGAAGAAGCGCTTGGTCTACTCTGTTCATGTGCTGGGATGACTATCACACAATCATGTGTGGTGACCAGCCATGCAGTTGCTGGGATGTGGCACCATTCCCTGGGAGCTTTGTTGATAAAATGGGCCTCTGTTCCATGTGGGGGGAAAAAAACACACACAGAAAATATAGCCACAATATAAGAGTGTGGGAGGAGTTGTGCATGCTGGGGTGGGTGGAAAGGATGGGGGTAAGGATATAGATGAGGTTGGCCTAATATTTATATTTATAAGGAAATTGTTCATGTATTTATGATATATTGATTATATAAAATTTTAGGAGAAAAATTAATATATCAAGAACTAATATAATAAAATATTAATGATTTAAAAATACTTTTGGTGTTCATTGTACATTGTACTCATGACCTTGTGCCCCTAAAAATGTTGAAATTCTATATACCTGTCATTTGTTCTTTATTTTTTTCATCAGAGCACTAGTGTTAGAATTATTTTATTATTATTATTTTGTGTGTGTAAACTTGGTGATATTAGTTTTTTTTTCAGCTTTATGGAGATATAATGGACAAATAACAGGATATAAGTTTGAAGTGTACAATGTGATGATTTGATACACAAATATACTAGTACTAGAGGTCCGATGCACGAATTCATGCAAGAGTAGGCCTTCCTTCTCCCAACTGTTGGCATCAGCTTCTCTCTGGATCCCGGGACCTGGGCTTCCCTCACAGCCCCAGCTTCATCCAGAAGGTCATCTGGAAGGACATCTGGTCTAATTAGCATATTATGCTTTTATTATTATAGATATGAAATGATTACCACAATAAGGTTAGTTAACACCTCCATTTCATCAGAGTTACCTTTTTAACTGTAGTAAGAACATTAAAGATGAACTCTTAGCAAATTTCAAATCTACAATATAGTACTATGCTATACATTAGCACACCTCCAGAACTTATTCACCTTGTAATTGATACCTTTAGTCCAACATCTCCCCACTTTCCCCCTCCCCAGCTCCTGGCAACCAGCAATCTACTCTTTGTCTCTTTGAGTTGGAGAGTTATTTTATTACTAATGGTTCTTGAGGTATATATGGAGAATTAAAGAAAATGGTGCAGTTACTAAGTTCCCTGGTAACTCTTTACAGATCCATCTTCCCAGCTACATTATTTTACAAAGTGAGCACTTATTGGCTACTGTGCTACCCACTAGCAATACAAAGAAAAGTAGGAATGTATATGGAAGGGCCACAGTATTGGCAATGGCTAACCACAGAGCCCCTGGTCATTAGGGCCATGGTGGCCACTTTGCATTTGCCTTGTTCTGACTTCTTTTGGGGTCACTGGCTGTCTTTCATCTACTTCTAATGCTTCCTGAGGACACAGGAGTTTCCATATTCTGGTCTCCATGACATTCAGAAGGTTCTCCTATCTTTCTCTTGCCCAGAAATGGCACACCACATTTTCTTCTTTACTGTTACCATACCGCTGGCTCAGAGCACATCTGCATTGCTGCTGAGTTCCAGGTCCCAGAGAGGCAGTAGGGCATAACTTCTCACCTCCACCTGCAACTCAGCTTGAGGATGGGCAAGTGGCAGGAGCCTGGCCCCACTTTTAATTTTTTAGTGTGGAGAACGTTTATCTATTGGTGAGAGTGGGTATGGAGTAGCTTGGTAGGTAGGCTGGCACTTCATCTCTTTGCTTCAGAATCTTTTGCTTATGGGATGAACATTGATATTTATACTTAAAATGGTCAGGCTGTTGAAATCTAAAAAGCATTTTCTCTCATAGCTGTCAGTTTCATGCTTGCCATGAATCTCCCAAATCCATTTAGATGCTCAAGACTATGTGTGTGTCTTTCTTTCTCTGTTCATTTTGGCAAGGATAGCCCTGCCCAGAGGATGGTACATATGAACAGATCCTGTTTGAGTAGCAGAAGTATACAGATGAAGGAAACTGCAGAGGAAAGAAATCACACCTTTGCATGCATCAAGATATTATCTTGTTACATATGTACACGTGTAATTTCAAAACAATGTGTTAAGTACTATAGTCATGTTGAGAAGACATAGAGGATGATAGTTCACTGGGAGATTTCAGAAAGGAGATAACATTTGCAGTGAGATGAATATGAGTTGCTTTAGAGAAAAATGGAGGAAGGGCATTTTTAGAAAAGGGAAGAGTACAAGCAAAAGCAAAGAAGCCCAAAAAGCTTGGTGTGTTAGGGGAGCAGCAAGTCATTCCATGTGCCTGGGATACCGTGAACATGGGAATACAGTGAGGGATACATAAGAAATATTTCTTGCCCAAGCGGAGTGGCTCAGTGGTTGAGTGTTGACCTATGAACCAGGAGGTCACGATTGGGTTCCTGGTTAGGGGACATGCCCGGTTTCAGGCTTAATCCCCAATGGGGAGGACATGCAGGAAGCAGCCAATCAATGATTCTCTCTCATCACTGATGTTTCTATCTCTCTCTCTTCCTCCTCCTTCCTCTCTGAAATCAATAATATTTATTAAAATGTAATATTTCTTGTAATGATGATTGAATTAACATGTCAGGAGGCAAACGGCCCACTTGTGGATGGTATTGTATGCGCTATAGGAAATGTGATAAGAACATAGTTGTAGTTCATAAGGTACTTTTCTTGGTGATATATAAAAGGAGTTAAAAACCTGAAGGCCAGTTAGAAGATCAGAGTGGAGACAACTTCTCTCCTATGATTGCACATTGTTAGAGCTGAATAGGCCCCTGTCAATCACCTGGTTAACCTTACTCATTGGCAGTTGAGGTACAGAGGAATTAGGTGACTTGCTCAAGGTCACTTGGGTAGTTATTTCACTGACTTCAAGTGCATGACTTTATTTTCAATAAAGACCCATTTTAGCCCCTTCTTTATGGGGCTTAGGGCTGGCCCTGGGAGCTGGTGCAGCGTACCTACACATCTCACGTGTCCAGATGCATTGTACATGGTTCCCCCAGAGTCTGGGGCCCTGAGTTCTGACTTCCTTCCCCAGCTTGAGCTGAGGGCTGGCTGTTATTCAGGAAATTGCAGACCCTCTCCCTCACAAGGCGGCATACTGTGCCCACTTGTTCCTGTAGGTTACAAATAGTTTCTTTATGGGGAATCTATCTTCTTTGGCAGCCACTTAAGACCTGGCTGTGGCTGAATGAGCAAGTTGTATTCAGTTCAGTTTTCTGGAACTCAACAGCTTTCTTTCTTTCTTTCTTTCTTTCTTTCTTTCTTTCTTTCTTTCTTTCTTTCTTTCTTTTAAAAAAAATATATATATATTTTATTGATTTTGTACGGAGAGGAAGGAAGGGAGAGAGATAGAGAGTTAGAAACATTAATGAGAGAGAGTCATCGATCAGCTGCCTCTTGCACACTGCCTACTGGAGATATGCCGGCAACCAAGGTACATGCCCTTGACCGAAATCGAACCTGGGAACCTTCAGTCTCCAAGCCGATGCTCTATCCATTGAGCCAAACTGGTTTCGGCTCAACAGCTTCTTTCTTTGTCTGTAGGGAGAAATGGTCTAAGTTGAGTGGTTCAAATACTACCATCATAATGTGTGAACAGAGGGACTTTTCTTTCCATGTGGAAACTTGAAAGCATGTAGCCTTCTCTTCTGATATCTGTTCTTATTTATGAAGGCTTGGCTGTGGGGAAAATCATATTCTTTCTCTTCCTCCCTACCCTACTCCTCTCTTTCCACATATTTACAATGCTTCAGGAGAGAATTTTCACTTGTATTGTAATTTACAGTGAAAAAAATGGATATTAAATAGGTTTGCTTTTTTTTTTTTTTTCCTAATAGGAGAGGTAGAAAATGCATTTTTAAATTTACCTATTGTTGAAAGTATTACAGATATTCCTTTTGTGTGTTTTTTTCCCATTGACCCTTTCCACCCTGCACCGGCCCCTCCCAGGCCTTCACAACACTATTGTCTGTGTCCATAGGCTATGCATATATGCATATAAGTTCCCTAGTTAATCTTTCCCCAACCATACTCCCCCCACCTCCCTTGCAAAAATGCATTTAATATTTAGACAGCTCTTGGCTTTGAACTCTGGTTCTACCATTTTATGGTTTTATGAATTTAGGTAATTTAGTCTCTCTGGGTGAAACGCGACTTCCTTGTATGTAAATGGGAGACTTAGTATCTATTTTAAAGGAGTAGTGCGTAATCAAAATAAAAATGTGAAAGACTTAATACAGAACCCAAGAAATGTCATCCACTTTGTGGCTGGTAGTCATTATCCCAAGAGGTACAGAACTTAAGGGTCCGATTTTGCTTGGCCCTAGGAAACTCACAACCAAGTTTTATGCTTAAACACTATAGCTATAATAGTTTCTCATGATTATGAAATTTGCACTCACCATGTACTCTCTACATGCAAATGGATATTCTCTAGTCTCCCTAGCCCCCTTATATATGGGTTTGCTTTTCATGTTTTCAGTTACCTGGTGTTAACTGCGGTCCAAAAATATTAAAGGGAAAATTTCATGAGAAAACGTAAGTTTTAAATTGCGCGCCACTGAAGAGCGTGATGAAATCTCGCGCGGTGCCTCGCGACAGGTGCGTCACCCCTTTGCGGGGCGTTTCCCAGCTCAGACGCCCTGCGCCCCGCAGGCCCTTGGGCCCCGCAGTCACGTGGTAGCCGGCTGCGTTCTTAGGTCTACATCAAGGTACCGAAGGCCTTGCGTTCAAATAACTCTTATTTTACTTAATAAATGGCCCCAAAGTGCAAGAGTCGTGGTGCCGGCGATGCGGATAAGCCAAGGAGAAGTTGCAAGGTGCTT